AAAAATCCTTTTTGCACACATGTAATACTACCAAACTGTTTCAAATATCTATTATAACTTTTAAAAAAATAAATGCAAAAAACATAATATTGAACACGTGTTCCGAAACAAAAAAGTGACGAATCGTTTTACAGTTTATTGTGTCATATGGTTTAAATTTAATTACCTGTTGCAGGAGATCGCAGATTATGGAGAGGCATGATCGCCCACGCGAGTCGGCAAGGCACCTGATGATGATGATGATGATTTAAATTAATTAAAATAAATTTTATGACACCCACAAAAAAAAAATTTAAATTACAATTTTGAGAGCATGAATCTTCCCTGTAGTAACATGCGGATGTGAGTCGTGAACTATCTCTAATGTCCTTAAGAAAGAAAATATGGGCTTTTCAGCTGAAATGCTATAGAAAGATTCTCAGAATATCGCGGACAAAGAAAAGAAATACTGACATTTTGAAAGATTTGAACATCAAGGAAGATTGGCAATAAACATCATTTTGTCTCGGAAGCATACATGACAAGGCTGGTGTGGTCAAGTCCCTTTGGGAACAAGCAACGGAATTAGCAGAGAAACAATATTATTATGGCCTGGAGAGAATGAGGCACCTGGGTGTGTAACCAGAGGGTCTGGCCGGCTCACTACACTCAAAGGAAAGGCAAGACGGACATATAACTAGATTGTGACCGGTACCATCAGTATTGGAACTCTGCGCTGGCTGCTGAAGATGAGGACGGAGCACGCATGGGAATGCCTCGAGTGCTGTGATGTCACTTCTTGACTCACTCAACTGTCTCCGAAGTTGAAATATGTTGGTCATTTAAAGCGCGATGGCGGATTGGAGAAAAATAATAGAAAAAGGCAGGGTACCAGGAAGGAAGGAAGGAAGGAAGGAAGGAAGGAAGGAAGGAAGGAAGGAAGGAAGGAAGGAAGGAAGGAAGGAAGGAAGGAAGGAAGGAAGGAAGGAAGGGTACCAGGAAGGAAGGAAGGAAGGAAGGAAGGAAGGAGGGGCTGGGGCCGACCAAGCCTAAGATGGGCACAGGATATAAGTGACTCCTTGAATATGAAATTACGCGAGACGGGAGAGCTGGTGAGAGACCGACCGAGGCAGATCGCAGCTAGAGCTACGTTCTGCAAAGGACCTGCTACATGATGATGTAAACTATTATACGGTAATCGAAGTCTTACAGGTCATCAAAGAACAACAAATAAAGTGGTTTCGATACCTAACAAGAATGCTCTGGTACTATCTACTACGGCGAGCCACACTAAAACGTTACAACGGGTATAAAGCGAGTGGAAGACCTCGGAAAATATGAAGTGATGGCATTTAGAACAGCCTTACAGAAATGAACATCAGTCTAAATAGTGCTCTTGACAGAGCTCATCAACGAACATTACATCTTCCTCCGACACTTCGATGAGGTACAATGTGGAAGAGATGAAGAAAAAATTTTTATTTTTTTTAAGTTCTGATCATAATTGTAACGCCATATTTTCGTGGTTTTGTGAAGGTAGTTTTTAGGCTTTGCAAAACTAATTTTCCATAAGTTTGTAAATCTAATTTTCTAAGTTTTTCTAAAGCTAATGTTATAGACATACTTTGTAAAGTTAATTTTCCAAATGTTTTAAAAAGATAACTTTCAAATGGTTTGTAACTTAAATGTGTAAAGGTTTTTAATGTTAAAGTATTTTGTCAACTCGATTTACCACATCGATGTTTTTAAGTTGGTATTTATAACTGAAATGAAAATAATGTCCACAAATAAAACTGGCTGTCACCCAAAAAAAAAAAAAAAATGAAAAAGAAATTGAAAATGTCCCAAACTTTAAATATCTAGGCTCTATAACAAACAGCAATGGAGACTGTTTGACACAAATTAAAAGGAGGATGGCCATAGCAATGCAAAGATTGAACAGCCTTAAAAGTCTGTCTATGGTTAAGCACCAGCAAGGAGATCATAATTAGAATTCTGAGAGTATGCATCTTCCCTGTGGCTACATACGGATGTGAGTCGTGGACTATCTCTCAGTCCTTAAGAAAGAGAATAGGGTCTTTGGAGCTGAAATGCTATATAAAGATTCTCAGAATATCTTGGACAAATAAGAGGAGAAATACTGACATCTTGAAAGATCTGAACATCATGGAAGATTGGCTAAGGAAGGAGGGGCAAGGGCAGACCCACACGAAGATGGGCACAGGATATAAGTGACTCCTTGAATATGAAAGTACATGAGGGTGGAGAGCTAGCGAGAGACCGAGTTTCTTTCAGGCAAACTGTGATGAGAGCGACGTTCTGCAAAGGACCTGCTGGCTCTCCTCCGAACTTCTACCCCCGCAGTATTGCGACTTGAAATATCCGTTCGGGCGCAGTCCAATTAAAAATATGCCGGCTCCGTATAACGAAACAAATACTCTAACAGGGTCTCAGCGATATGTTACTTGCGGACCTGTTTCTTATTGTTTCTTATTGTTTCTGATTACCTGACAATTCTAAGAGACGCACGCAACACTGCAGACGATAGTAGCAGACGACGATAATATTGTCCATTGTCGAACTTCCTGCCGACGAACAAATCGAGGCAAATCTAGGATCGGCTCGGAAAAACGAAACAAATGCTCCAACAGGGTCTCAGCGATATGTTACTTGCGGACCTGTGTCTGTGACTATGGCTCACCGCCGACCGTATAGGGGCTAAACTAGATGGCTGGGACTCACGAGCGGCAGCTACCGCATCTCCTGCACTTCCTCAAATTACTTTGCTCGTGAGTCCGAGGCACCTAGTTTAGCCTCCCATCCGCGCCGCGCGTAGCTGCGCGGGGTATACGCTCGGCGGTGAGTTTAATCGCGTTTTGCGCATGCCGACCAGTCTGACATCTACCGCTGCTAAATCTTCAATCGGAAGAACAGTATTGCTAATCTGCGTGGGAGTGCGTGGTCTACCCGCCATATCGCTTTCATCGTATGTAATGTCTCGAAATTGTCAACGGTCGCTTTTATCGTCTGCTAGTATCGTCTGCAGAAAACGCTCGAAATTGTCACTAGTCGCTTTTATCGTCTGCTACTATCGTCTGCAATGTTGCGTCTCGTGACATTGTAAGGTTCTCCTAGTTTTGCTGCAATTTGTTTCTCGGCGGAAACTCCAACAAGCCCTATATTTTTAATTGAACTGAGCCCCGAACGGATATTTCAGGCCGCAATACTGAGGAGGTAGAGGTTCGGAGGAGAGCCGACCGGCTACATGATGATGATCATCATCATCAGTTCTCGTTATGCCTAGTGGCACATGAGGCCTCAGAGAGGACTTTCCATGCTTTCCTGTCCTGTGCAATCTTCAGTGCAATTTTCGATGTCAAAGATGCCGCACTCAGGTCACTTTCCATCGTTCGTCTCCATGTTGTTTTTGGGCGCCCCTGTTTTCTCTTTCCCTCTGGTGTCCATGCGAGAGCTGTTTTGGCAGGTATATCAGAAGTCATTCTCATAACGGGGCCAAGCCATTTCCATCTTCTCTTGGTAATCATACTGTCTAAAGTTTCTTGGTTTGTGGCTTGAAGTAGTTTAGTGTTTGAGATTGTATCTGGCCAGAAAATTTTGATAATTCTACGTAGACATGATGATGATGATTTCTAGCTCTGTTTGGTACCAAACATTCAAGTGCTTACATCAAGTCCATACACTTATCCATTCATCAATTCATTAACTCATCCGTCCATCCATATGTTCGTCCATCCATATGTTCATCCATCCATCCATCAATCTATTCACCCACTCACACAGAGCTTTTCGTTACTAATCTAAATGGTCACGTAAATATATGTTTGTTTTAGTATCCAGAAGCCATGAGTTGTTAACCCTTAGGCTCGGTACTATGGATATCGCAACCCTTCGGCATTGATTCCATTAAAGGTAGCGTTAATTTGGGAGATAATGTGGCTTTCCTGCCTACCCCCGGGACTGAACCCGGACCACAAGGAGTTCGTCACCCGGTCTCCGCGCAATCCGGTTTAGCCAACTACACTAGAGGGCCGGGCCGTAAATATATGTAAATCATGAGTACGAACAGAATGAAAGCATAGGGAAAAGAAAATGAGAAAATACTGGCCCAAAAAAAGGGGGGAGGTCTCAATATTTAGAGAGGGGGAAAAGTCAAGCTCCGAAAGAACCTGAAACCACGAACTTCCGATCTGCATGCGAGCGTCTTGCCACTACACCAAGTCGGCTGTCTCCTATATGGGTAAGGACGAGACAGACAGACAGACAGACAGACAGACAGACAGACAGACAGACAGACAGACAGACAGACAGACAGACAGACAGACAGACAGACAGACAGACAGACACACACACACACACACAGAGACAGACAGACAGACAGACAGACAGACACACACAGACAGACAGACAGACAGACAGACAGACAGACAGACAGACAGACAGACACACACACAGACAGACAGACAGACAGACAGACAGACAGACAGACAGACAGACACACACACACACACACACAAACACACACACACACACACACACACACACACACATATATATATATATATATATATATATATATATAATACATATACATATATCATGTTTCACTCATCATCATCATGATCATCATCATAAAGCACTTCTGCCGTTAAGCGTCGTGGGAGGAATAATTTGCGATCCAGTGCACGTTGGCTGCCACTGGCTATTGTCATGCCGTGAAGGCGTAGAGTTTCTTTAATGTTGTCGATCCATGTTTTCCGCTGGCGTCCTCTTGCTCTTGTAGCTGATCTTCTGAGATATAGTGCTTGTGATGGTATTTGATCTTTCTAACAAGAGGGCCAAACCACTTGATCTGCTGTTTCTCGATGAATCTAGTACAAGGTGTCGTTCCCACAATTCATATTTCACTATCTGCCTGAAATACCTATAAATGTCAGACTTGGTGGTATTTCTGGCACTGCAAACAATCAGTGACGTTCTCTAATCTGTCCCCTTACGTTCAGGTCGGACTCTACCGGTGCCTGTTGCCTGTGAAGTGTGTGGAGACAAAAGCTACGGGAAGCACTACGGTGTCTTCTGTTGTGATGGCTGCTCGTGTTTCTTCAAGAGAAGCATTAGGAAGAATATTACGTACGCTTGTATTGGTGAGTTCTTTGATTTCATCTTTATATATATATATATATATATATATATATATATATATATATATATATATATATATATATATATATATATATATATATATATATATATATGGTGGTAGGCGATAGTAGTAGATGTGGTTGTAACGATAGTAGTAGTGGTTTTAGCCAGAGTAATGATAGTGGTTTAGGTAATTTAAAAGCATGAGTAAAAATAATAGTCGTATATCAGTAGTAGCACAGTACTGGTAGCAGCAGTAGTAGCACAGTACTGGTAGCAGCAGTAGTAGCACAGTGCTGGTAGCAGCAGTAGTAGTAGTTATAGTAAAAGTACTAGAAGCAGTAGTAATAGTAGCAGCAACAACAGTAGTAGTTATAGTAGTAGTAATAGCAGCAGCAGTAGTAGTAGTTATAGTAGTAGTAAAAGCAGCAACAGTAGTAGTAGTTACAGTAGTAGTAATAGCAGTAGTAGTAGTAGTAGTTATAGTAGCAGTAATAGCAGCAACAATAGTAGTAGTTATAGTAGTAGTAATAGCAGCAACAGTAGTAGTAGTTATAGTAGTAGTAATAGCAGCAACAGTAGTAGTAGTTATAGTAGTAGTAATAACAGCAACAGTAGTAGTTGTTATAGTAGTAGTAATAGCAGCAACAGTAGTAGTAGTTATAGTAGTAGTAATAGCAGCAACAGTAGTAGTAGTTATAGCAGAAGATTTAGAAGTAGTAGTAATAGCAGCAGCAGCAGTAGTAGTTATAGTAGTAGTAATAGCAGCAACAGTAGTAGTACTACTTAGTAGTAGCAGTAGCAACAGCAGCCGCAATGTTTACCGAAGCAACAGCAGTAGTTGTGGTGGAGGTATGTTCGTTTTAGGAGTAGTAATAGGAGTATTTTTAGCAGCAATGTAGTTTTCTATCCAATATAAATAGTTATCAGTTGTTCTTATGTCATTATATTTGAACTGGTGCAATGCATGATATTTCATTTTGTATGGAATTAAATATAACAGCTAACGCTGAGTAAATTAAAATGTATGTATGTGTGTATGTATAAATATATAAATATACATATCTATATATATAAAAATCAATGTTTGTGTGTTTGTTTATGAGCTATAGACTCGAACTACTGGACCGATTTAGCCGAAATTTTCAGGATATGTTTGTTTAGATACCGGATGTTTACCCATCATAGTTTGAAATTCTACCTGTCATTGTTAGAGGTAGGCGACCACATTTGTTGCAAAAATCTTCAAAACTATTTCAATTTTTAGTGGCATTTAATTATAGCCACGTTAGTAAATGCGCGATCGACTTTCACAGTGCATGCGCAGTAGAGACGGGACCCTCCGTTTTTTACATCCGCTCGTACAGCAAACCAGACTATCTCTATATCGCTAATTGTGACGTTAACCATATTATACACGATTTCTATTTTCTTTCTTTTCAAACAACGTTCGATGAGTTAGAGAGTAGTCGGTTGATTTGAGAGAGGGGAAGAGAAAGGGGTGGGGGGGGGGGGGGGCTTCTATGTCTGCGCAGACAATTATTGCGACATTTACCGTGTTAGACACGTACGATTTCTATTATTGTGCCGTTTCAATAATACTTAAGTTTATATCTGGGATATCTGTTAATGAGAAAACAATTGCCTGCGGTTTTGAGTTGTGTTAGAATCGGGTCACAAATCTTGCGTAGTTTTGTTATCTTTTCGTTTGTCAGATGCAGTGGTTGGCTGGTCGAATGGTTAGTACACTGGGTTTCCGTGCAGGAGACTAGGGTTCAAATCCCCAGTACGGCAGTTTCCTAAATATTTTTTTACCTGGTAGCAAAATAAAACCCAGACCCGCTCTGTCGTGGCGACAGCATTAGCCACGTGGCCATAAAAACTAAAAAAATACAAAAAAATACACGTATGCGGGTAAACCAATTGATAATAAAATTTGACTATTTCGCATACTTTTGATTTCTTTTCAAACTTTCTGATTGCATGGTAACGCTGAATTTTCGTAGATTTCCATTTATTTTCATTTCGATTTAAATATTTCTTCTGACATTGCGTTGGAATTAGGCTGTGTTGTTTATCATAGCGTTCATTTCGTAATTATTGTGTATTTTTCCTGTTTTCGTTGCATTTCACTTTTTTTTTTTTTTTTTTTTAATTTTTTTTTTCTTCCTCAAAACTACTTCGATGAAGGAAAGAGTAGTCGGTGAATTGGAAGGGGAGGGGTGGGGGGGGGGGTGGGGGGGGGGTAGCATAAACTGGTAACCGAAAAAGCTTAAAGTCAAAGTAACTGCCTAACCAACTCAAAGTAGCAGTAGTACTAGTAGTGATTGAGCGGTTACACCGTAGTGCTGTCATGCCGGAGACAGCCAGTAAGGTGATGGCATTTTTCTGTCGGGAAGCGAAATTACACATCCTGACCAGTCCGTGCCTATAGCATTAGCCTTGCGGCGCCAAATCCTCTGGCTCACGGCTCCGTCTACTACTACGGTAAAACAGAAAGCAGTGACATTATTTTATTTATTGTGGTAGCAGTGGTTGTAGTAGTTGTACTGGTACTTGAAGGATAGTGTGGTAAATATTACATTAGCCGCATTTACTACTCATTACAATTCCTGCTCCCTTTTTTAGTCCGGATATCAACGTCAGTTACAAAAAATATCGTCAGGTGATGACTTTCAAATCCTTCGATGACAGAGAAAGCAGATGGGGAAGGGTAGGGGGTGATGACAGAAACTGTTAACTTTAAGAGCTTTACGCATGATTTTAAAGTTTTCATTTCCTAATTTGTTTATATTTTACTAACGCTACCTCCGCTATTCTCATTTTTTAACGACCTACTTGGTTATTTACAAGTACAGTAGTAAGCTTTACTTCCGTCTCTTAAAAAAAAATACAAACAGCTTTAGCATGTGATAACCAAATAACCATTTTTTACTGTGCTAATAACACCATTTAAACGACCACTAATATAAAGACGCAATTATATGTTGCGTGTTCTAAAGTGGCAAACCAGACTATCTCTATATCTGTGCAGATAATGATTGCGATATTAACTATATTAGACACGTGTGATTTCTATTGTCTTTCTTTTCCATTTAGCCAAACTATGCCACAGCAACGCGTGGCCGGGTACAGCTAGTATATATATATATATATATATATATATATATATATATATATATATATATATATATATATATATATATATATATACACACACACACACACACATACAGTCGAGTCTGGATAAGTAGAAGTCCTGATAAGTGGAAGCATTTTTTAGGTCCCTACGACTTCTACTTATCCAGACTCGACTGTATATCTGAGGCATTAACGAAACAAATAACTGTTCTGTTGCTAGGGAAAGGAAGCTGCCTTATCGACAAAGCCAGGAGGAACTGGTGCCCTCACTGCAGGCTTCAGAAATGTTTTGCTGTTAACATGAACAGAAACGGTGAGTCGATTGTACAGTACACAGGGGGGGTGGGGGGGGGGGGGGGTCGACATAAACATGAGAAGGCAGCTCTCTGTCCAGCTACGCATTTTCTGCAGGGGGTACAATTAGCTAAGCTTTAAGGGTGTAATAATAATAATAAATTTCAAATATTAAGATATATATATATATATATATATATATATATATATATATATATATATATATATATATATATATATATATATATAAGCAAAACCTAAAATTATATGTGATTTAAGAAAAAAGGGGTGGGGGGGGGGTCAGCTTAGCTACCTTAAACATTTAACTGGGGTGGGGGTAGGGGGAGCCTCAAGGTGAAACGCAAAACCCAAAGTCTCCCAATGTACATAAAAGCTAAGGTTTATCGCCCGAGGCAGTGTTTAAGTGCGAAATGATACTTATTATTATTATTATTATTATTTTGTTCTTCTTTTTCTTCGCGTGTACCACCTGTAAACTTTGCCGGATACTTCAGGTTGTTCGTCCCCTTCTGGACTTTCCTATTCCCTAACATAAGTTTTTCCGTATTACAGATCTGGCTTTTTTTGTATGCAGACTGTTGGTTCCTCGCCTCACAGGCAAATGCACTCCAGCTTCGAAATAAATTCTCCCTAATTAGTCGGCTGCTGATATGCATGTCTGGGTGGCTGTGGGTCTTCTTTTTGTTTTTTGTTTTTGCTTCCCCAGTTTTGTGCCCAATAGCAAAAATGAGAATATATTTGAAATAATATTAACTCATTGAATCCCAGGCTCTAAAACTTGGAGCAAAACTAAAAGAGGTGAAGTATAATTTTAAAAAATTTCGAAAACAGCCTTACAAGGAGACCATTGATCACCGGCATCATTAGGGTTAGTAGACTGAAATACGGCATACTGAGAATGTATATTTATTGGGAACCTCGACATATCAATAACAAATCGGAAAAGGCAGGGGTCAAGATTCTGGCGCCCTTTTCGTGCACTACCACAAACAAACAAACAAACAAACACGCGCGCACACACACACACACACACAAGACAGGCCTCGATGACCGCATTAGAACAGTCCTCCACTCATCCTCACATTTGACAAGTTAAAAATTTGAAACTCACAGTGCCACATTTGTGCAGTAAATCGAGTTCCGTTAGCCAGATTCTGTCTCGCTGACACGCGGAAGACAAGGGACAGCCAGTTATCACACTTCAGACGAGTCAGTCCTTGCTGGCTAGGGCAGACCACAGCAGACTGCTCCCCGTTTCCGCTGGAGTGAGCATTCCCAAATGTGACAACTTCGGCAATCTGTGAATTTCTTTATTGCATTTCTGAGATCGTAATTGTTCATGCGTTTACGTAATTTTTCCTTCACCAGTTTATAACGAATTCCAGGAAGCAAAATTTCGGGGAATTTTATATTTCTTAGAACTACTTTTGAAGACTTGAATCATTATTGTTTTTTCTTTTCACAATGCGAAAAGGGGAGTTAACGCCGAGAAGTGTTGGATCACCCGAAAGTAGCAGTTGAATTCTTTCGACCTAGTTTTGGGCTCTACATTTTTTTTTTTTTTTAATATGAACCATAGTCATCTAATACTATAACACGTATCCTTGATTACTTGGGTAATGACATTCAACGCCTAAATTTCTCACATAATGGCGAAATATGAGTTTTTTTTATAAGTTAGTATTCACATAAATGTCTCTTCCATGTAATTGGAGAACCGGGCATGAGATCTCACTAACTTCTCGTTCTATTTACGATTAAATTTTTCGTTATTTGAAGCCCTACTCGGGCTCTTGCCAGGCCATAAATATGGCCTAAAGGCTGAACGCGGTTTCTGGGACCTCTCCACGGTGATCCTCACTTACATGGTGGCACTTTGTGTCATTGGATGTTTATCGCTTGTGTGATGTCCTGGTGGGGTAGAAAGTCAGTCAGTCACGAGATCTATAAAGCCACTCGGACTGTTTGGTCTGTGTATTTAGTACAAGACCTTATTGCTACACATTTTCGATAGTATCATTTCACACTTCGATGGTTATACATATGTTTGATAATATCATTTCACACTTCGATGGTTACACATATGTTTGATAATATTTCAGACTTTGATGGTTAAACATATGTTTGATAATATCATTTCACATGTTTGATAATATTTCACACTTCGATGGTTACACATATGTTTGATAATATCATTTCACACTTCGATGGTTACACATATGTTTGATAATATCTCGCACTTTGATGGTTGCACATTTGTTCAATATTCTTTCACACTTCGATGGTTAGATATATGTTTGATAATATCATTTTCCACTTCAATGGTTACACATTTGTTCTAAAATATTTCACACTGTGATGGTTGCAAAATGTTCAATAAAATTTCACACTTCGATGGTTACACATATGTTCTAAAATAGTTCACACTGTGATTGTTGCTTATATGTTTGATAATATTTCACACTTCGATGGTTACACACGTTTGATACTATTTCACATTTCCATGTTGCACAAATGTTTGATAATATTTCACATTTCCATGGTTGCAATATGTTCAATAATATTTCACACTTTGATAGTTACACATACGGTGATTCAATGAGTATGGTCCGGAGGGTTCAGGCAGGTTCAGTGCGAAGACAATGGCTTGAATCATTACAGAAGTCCACTGTGCGTGGAGTCACCTTTATTTTTGTTCCGGGACACGCAGGCGTCGATGGAAATGAAAGAGCTGACAGGTTGGCTGGATCCGCTATCACTACCGACGGTCAGCCTATGGATCATGCTGATATTATCAATGCCCTCAGAGAAATGGGAAGGATAGAGGACTTTGGTGGCAGTGAATCAACATCACTCGCCAGAATGGTAGACTTGGGAATTAAGATCGGTACAGCAAAAAACGAGACGCACACCAGACACGCCAGAAGACTTGTTAATCAACATAGAACTGGTACTATTAGCCATCGGACGTTGGGGTTCATACTGAGGGGAGGATCTGAGCACCTTTGGACATGTCCGGAGTGCAATGAGGATAACCCAACTAACTAACTAACTAACTAACTAACTAACTAACGAACTAACTAACATACGGTCGATAATATTTATATATATAAAATTAGAAAACCGAATTGGTAGAGATGTGTATAAACAGAAGAATGTGCAGTTATCATAAAGAAAACAAGAATATCTGTCGTGCCAAAAGACAGAAAGCAGAGAAGAACTGTGTGTAGACATACACAGTGGTATTCCGTGGGTGGGGGAAAACACTAATAACATCGTCTTTTGTGTTCGTCTTTAATATTGTGGCTGGTACCATGTGTTATGGTTTACAGCTAGGCTGTGATGTATGTGTACTGTGACTTCTGTGTCAGCTTCGTGTGCCTGGCCTGATTGTGAAGATTGTATCATAAATGTCACACCGTTTTGAATAGCAGGTGGCTGATTCGAAAAAAAAACCACGATAACAGAACGCTGCTGCTCTCTAGTGCAGGCCAAAAGTGTGTCGGCCATCTTTAAACTGTCTTTATGACGTAGCCGTGTTTGTCTGTACCGTGACGTCACGTGCTTAACACAAATATAATCATTAACAATAATTTTGACAGGTAACAAGACAATTGCATAGTTGGTTATTGCAATCGTTATCACACTTTTAAGGTTTTCCTTTGAAGCAAAATATCAGTCCCCTGACCCACTTTTCCTCGCCATATCACTTAATAGTAAAAGATTCTAAACATGTACTATTTTATGAAATAATGCTTATACTGAACTTCTGGAAATACCCAGAAATAAAAGACATTAGAGGATACATTAGGTAATGTTTTGAAAACACAAAAACTGTAGCGACCACTCTCTGTGTCGACGACAGAGCAGAACATCGCTGCAAGAGTAAGGGGGCTACAACATGAATTGTGCTTGACGTTGCATCTAAAACTTATTAATAAAAGGTACAACTATTTTATATTTTTAAAATTATCAATTAATGTTGGATCTTTTTTTAAAAAATGACCTTAGCTCCCAGGTAGACCCAGTCTTGAATTGTTACCTGATGAAGTCCTGGGAAGTAAAGGCGGCCGTCGTGTTGCTGACCACATTACCCACCAAGTGCTGATTGGTCGTAAAAATATAGGTCTAGTTTAGCCCTATATGCCCAGTGCGCCTTAAAGCGTGGAGAATTGTTCTTTACTTTTACTTATTAATTAATTAGCATGGCGGTTAGGGGTGAAAAGGGGGAGGGGGGTGTCGCTGTCCTGAGATTTCATGTAAGTTAGCTGACAGTTTACAAACAAACCCAAACAACAGGTAGACAGACTAGTAGAACTGTCACGTTGGCAAGAATTCCAACGGACGGTTAAAATAGGGAGTTCTTGTTAAAAACAAATTACATGCCAACTGAGGACAAATAAATCAATTATGAATAATACATCCATCCTGGAACCCAAATGTTGTTTATTTGAACCAATGGTTCGTTGTGAGAGAGTTTTCGCTAACGAGATTCAACTGGATTTAACTGTCATTTCCAGCGGTGCAGGAGGAACGTGGTCCCAGAAAGAACAAAGGAACAAAGAAGAACGTGGCAGCAAGGAGAGCTGTTATACTGGACTCTTCCTCTGTGGCCGCATCATCTTCCTTGACAACGTTTCCTTCAATAGAGGTTCGATCCTTTCTAGGACCAGAGAGCTCCCACTTTACCTGGGGGTCCTGTCTTAGCGCCTTCAGGCCCGTGCCGCCCCGATCCCGAGGCCTGTTGCCATGGCAACCACCCGGAAGTTTTCCCAGCATGCTGTTTGGGGAGTTTACGTCGGACCTTCTGAAGTGCTCGGATCTGTCAGCCGGGGCTGCTTGTGAGTATACAACCGTGTTGTGAGTAATTGTGTGAATGTGAACGTAGTACTAAGGTTAGAAAAGCACTCCATGTGTGGGTTCTGAGTCCCCATTGTGGGGGGGGGGGGAACAAGAAAAGATTCAGTTACTTCCCAACAAGCATGTTGTAAGAGTCGACTAACCGGGGCCATCCTTCGGAGTCCGTTTGCCTGAAAGGCACGGAACCAACAATCTGCATACACATAAGCTAGATCTGTAAAACGAATGCGCATGCGACACTCAGGTTCTCAAACAAGACTACAGTCCAGAGGTGGACGAACAACCAAAACTTTCTGTTGCAATTTACAGCCGGTGAACGTGAAAAAGGCAAAGAAGGGGCTAATACTCACTGCCACAATGTTAAGGGTGGGTGCAGCAGAATAATAGCCTCGTTAACCGTTTCTATGGAAGGCGACACCCCACATGTTGACTGTTCCGTCATTAGTCAAGTTTCCAACATGCCTGTAGAGGGACAGGGCCACGACTTCTGCGTTCATGTCCCAGTGGAAATCAAACACCCTTAGTGTCCCATATGAAAACTAGTGAAAAACGTGTCAGTTTTAGCAAATTCTTGAAGCTTGCAACACCAGCCACTACACAGTGGCATTGGAAGGTCAGGTGGTGCCTAGTGCGGTAAACATTTTTTATCCATCGACGCATTTTTTATATTAAAAAGATGTTCGACATTTTGTCCCCCCCCCCCTAATGACCTTGACCCCCAAGATCGACCCAGCCTTTAGTGAGTACCGGGTGCAGTCTCTGGAAGTAAAGGTAGCCGACGTGATGCTGACCACATCACCTATCTTGTGCCGATTGGTCTAGCCTTAAATGCCCATACGCCTAAATGCGTGGAAAACGAAAATTTACTTTATTTTCTTACCCCCCCCCCCCCCTCCGCCCTTTTCCCCCCGAAATGCTGACAACAGGTACGGCCTGCACACACCCTCCTTAAGCCTGTGCACCTACTCTACCAAAATACCATTATTGTGGGAATAACACTGGTAAATTGTCAATGTTTTAGTTAACGGGGAAAAAAACGTGCACTAAAGCATGTCCCGTGGCAGAAATGGTCGAGTTACATACATATTGTGCATAACAGTTTATAAGAGGAATGGGCAGTTCCCTTCCTTGGAGGCAAGGACGTCGACCATATCACTCACTGAATGTCGATTGTTCTATACAAAAAATATAGATCTAGTACTATTTGCCCGAAAAAAGATTTAAAACCGAACGAAAAGTATATCAGCGAGCTTCACCAAAAAAAAACCCAAAAAAACGTGAACGTTGCGGTTATGGAGCCTTCTTTCCGCCAGTGAAAATCAAGCATAGTGTTCCTTGGTGTCTTATTTGAAAACTAGTGAAAAACGTGTCAGTTTTAGCAAATTCTTGAAGCTTGCAACACCAGCCACTACACAGTGACATTGTAAGGTCAGGTAGTACCTGGTGCGGTAACAATTTCATATCCACAGACGATTTTTTGTGTCACAAAGATTTTCGACATTTTGTCAGCGCCCTCCCCCCACCCCACCCCCACCCCCCCCCCCCCACCCAAAAAAAAACCTTAACACACAGGTCTACCCAGCCTTGAGTCGGTACCTGGTGCAGTCCCGGGAAGTGAAGGCGGCCGGTGTGATGCTGACCACATCACCCACCACGGCGATTCCCCATCGAAATAGATAAAGTGGTAAACTTATTGCAACCATTTGGACGTAGACAGTATTTTTTCAACATAACATTTGAGAAGGAATGCACTCAGGAATAAAAAAAAAAAAAAAAAACTGGCAAAATTGATCGAAAGAGAAGTCGAGGAAGACAACGAGAAAAATACCAGGATGGTCTAGCCAGATAGAAGGGGGCGAGACAAAAAACATTGAACTGATTCGTGATTCTGGTGATCATATAAGATGGTGAAACATGACAGCCTACTCTTACGGGCATAAGATGGTGATGATGACTACGAACAACCGCATTGACACTTCACAAAGTCAGTTCGATCTGTGCTGTAGAACTCCCACACGGACAGGATCGCTTATGGAAATTCTACTCAGTCGGACATTGTAATGGACACTAGTCAGCCGGTGCTCCAACAGGAGACAGTGAAGTCATTGGCGGTCTGCTGGCAGATTTACTTGTGTGAGACTTAGCGGACATGTGATTCTGCGTTGACCTGTCTTCGATTTCTGTTAGTGTCCAGCGGTTGGGCAGTTTTGGGGCTGTATTGTATTTCAATGAGGCCGCATTTGCCCCTATACGAAAAAAAAAAATATAAAACGTTTACGTTTTTTGTGAAAGCCAAAAAATGGCTACCCGATTTGTGTCTATAATTAACAGGGAATTGCCGAGGGGGGGGGGGGGGGGCAGAGAGCGATAGAGAGAAAGAGAAAAATTGATGTAGAGATACAGAGTGGTGAGACTGGTTGCAGGAAATAAGAGGAGAGAGAGAGAGATACACACACACACATACACATACGGAGAGTACAGAGTGTTGAGACGGGTGTCAGACAGTAGTGAGAGAGAGAGAGAGAGAGACATACACACACACACATACACATACGGAGAGTACAGAGTGTTGAGACGGGTGTCAGACAGTAGTGAGAGAGAGAGAGAGAGAGAGACATACACACACACACACACACATACACATACGGAGAGTACAGAGTGTTGAGACGGGTGTCAGACAGTAGTGAGAGAGAGAGAGAGATACACACACACACATACACATACGGAGAGTACAGAGTGTTGAGACGGGTGTCAGACAGTAGTGAGAGAGAGAGAGAGATACACACACACACATACACATACGGAGAGTACAGAGTGTTGAGACGGGTGTCAGACAGTAGTGAGAGAGAGAGAGAGAGACATACACACACACACATACACATACGGAGAGTACAGAGTGTTGAGACGGGTGTCAGACAGTAGTGAGAGAGAGAGAGAGAGACATACACACACACACATACACATACGGAGAGTACAGAGTGTTGAGACGGGTGTCAGACAGTAGTGAGAGAGAGAGAGAGAGAGAGAGACATACACACACACACAGAGAGAAAGAGAGAGAGAGACATACACACACACACAGACAGTGTGATAAAGAGTGTTGAACCGGCTGACGGAAAGTGGGAGGGGGGAGACACACACACACACGCACGCACAGACAGTATGCGTGTGAGACGGCTGTCAGAAAATGAAGGATAAAGACTGGTGTGGGTGGACACACACACACACAGAGAAAGAGAGAGAGAGAGAGAGAGAGAGAGAGAGAGAGAGAAAGAGAGAGAGAGACATAGAGAGAGACAGAGATTGTGACTATCATTTACAGTATTTCTTGTCAACAGTACTTATAGTGTGTTCTCCTGGCTACCTTTTTCACAATATTCCGATACTCATCATTTAGCGTATGTTGTAAACTACCATTTATACCATGTCCTAGTTACTACCATGTATAGTCGGCTGTCTTGGCTACCGTTTATAGTCGTCTCTCGTGGCTACCGTGTATAGTCGTCTCTCGTGGCTACCGTGTATAGTCGTCTCTCGTGGCTACCGTGTATAGTCGTCTCTCGTGGCTACCGTGTATAGTCGGCTCTCGTGGCTACAGTGTATAGTCGGCTCTCGTGGCTACAGTGTATAGTCGGCTCTCGTGGCTACCGTGTATAGTCGGCTCTCGTGGCTACCATGTATAGTCGGCTCTCGTGGCTACCATGTATAGTCGGCTCTCGTGGCTACCATGTATAGTCGTATCTCGTGGCTACCATGTATAGTCGTCTCTCGTGGCTACCATGTATAGTCGTCTCTCGTGGCTACCATGTATAGTCGGCTCTCGTGGCTACCATGTATAGTCGGCTCTCGTGGCTACCATGTATAGTCGGCTCTCGTGGCTACCATGCAAAGTCACCTCTCGAAGCTACCATGTATAGTCGGCTGTCTTGGCTAACATGTATAGTAGGCTTTCGTGGCTACCATGTATAGTCGGCTGTCTTGGCTACCATGCATAGTCGGCTCTCGAAGCTATCATTTATTGTCTATTTTTGTGGCTGGTATGTTTTTATGGGTACCATGTGTATTCTATTCTTGCGAGTACTGTTTATATTTTCTTACAACTACCAGTTTATAGTAGTACTAGTATTTGCAGTAAGCTTTAGAGCTTGGTGTGTAGTATGCTCGCGTGGGTACTATTTATAGCCTATGTTCGCGTGAGTACCATTTAAAGTATGTTCCTACTACATATGAAGCAAGTCACTCTGAGATCATGTTTTTTCCCCGTATCAACATATGGATGTGAGTCCTGGTCTCTCGCACAGTCTTTAAGAAGCGGAACTTTGAAATGAAATGTTACAGAAAAAGGAGCGCTGCGTGGTCTCGAGGCATGGTGTCCACCTTGAGTGCTAGAGGTCCCGTGTTCAAGTCCCAGTGAAGGCTGGGATATTTTCCCCGTGGATTTCTAGTAATTTCTCCCTGGTCTCTTTTGACAGTTGGAAATCAAAAAAAGTAGCCAAACGGCGCTGCCCAGGCCAAATCTGGAGCTAAAAATCTAGCTAAAGTATTTCAGGATCCTCGCCGGTGCTACGGAGTTTGTGCACTGCGCCGAGATTCTTTGACTCAAGCTTGAGTTAGAAGAAGAACGGGGCACTTTTAGGTTACACCCGTTTGCTATGATGTTGATCCGTCGAATAAACATAAATATGATACAGAACAATTCTTTAAACACAGTGCGCCAAGAAGAAGAAAAAACGTCGACATCCGGCATAATCCGAACAAGGAGAACTGGCTAGAAAACAACATCCTCTGCCGAAAGTTGCGGTTTTTTTTTTTAGATGTGTCAAACATCATGGTGGTCTGGAGAGACCCTTGCAGGGGGAGGGGTGGGGGCGGTGTCCGGAAAGCGAGGCAGAGGCCGACCTCCTCTGAAGTGGACACATGATATTGAAGCATTGGCTATGAAACCACACAGAACTGGCCAGTGAAAGAGAGACTTTGAGACGTGCGTGAAGAGAGCGACATTATGTAAATCACCTGCTGATTGGGTGATTGGTTACCAATTGTAGTCTGGTGTGTGTATCTCTGTGTGTGTGTCTATGTGTGTGGGTGTTTGTGTATTTGTGTGTGAGTCTGTGTGTGTCTGTGTGTGTCTGTCTCTGTGTGTCTGTGCGCGCGCGTATGGGTGCGTGCGTGCGTGTGTGTGCGTGCGTGCGTGGGCGAATTTATGTTGTGAAGAACACTTTTTTTAATCTCTGACCCATTTTTTTTGCTTGAGTTCTTCTCTGGATAAGAGGAATTTTTGATAAGAAGAACCATCTCTTGGGTCTCCTATGAGATCTTATCAGGTCTGGAATATAGCATGGGCATCGATAAATTTCCCGCAGGGCGTCTGTATTCTAAGAATATTTCCTGGTATAATTTTAAACTAAGTTCAGCAAACCTGGCCAGTTCATGTAATAGCATCCACGATCCGAAACTGATTCGAACCCACAGACTACAGGGGTGTGTGTGCAAGCGCACGCTCCATCGGCTCATCATGATCGTTTAAAAAACAACATGTAGCGTTTAGTTACATTCAAACAACATTGAATGCATTTGTGAATTAGGTCAATAATGTACTCTAAAGCAAAGAGCCCTTCTCGTGCCTTTGGCCCATTGGGCATATAGGGCTAGACCTGTTATTTTTATAGACCAATCGATCAGCTCTCGCGCCGGGAGCTTTTATTTTCTTATACATTACCTGGTACCCATTTTAGGCTGGGTCGACTGGGAAGCCAGCTGAAACCGGGACATCCCACTAATTTTTTATCTGAAAACGGGACATCCCAAACAACTCGCGCCCCCCCCCCCCCCCCACCCCTCAACCATTACCGCCAAGAAATAAATGAAACAATATGTTCTTTAACAACAATCAAAAACAATGAACATTTCGAGGGGATACTCACCACTATACTAACTACCGTAGACTTTCGAGCCAGCGGGCAAACGTCTTGTCGAGACGCCACCGCGGCTCCCAATAAATAAGATTTGCTATAAATGAATTATACATTATCTATTTCAGAATGCTTTGATAAGAAAACCTTAACTTTTGGTATTTTACACTTGCAGATCTTCCCGACGTCGGCGACAAGGGTCAATTTTTCAAGTCTACAATGCAACAAGTGCTGCTGGCGGCGCTGCGACGGGTTCAATACAATCACTTGTTCCGAATGCTCCACCCACACGATCAGCTGGTGCTTCTTGAAATGAGATGGGTGGAGCTTTTCGTCCTGGCTGCCTCTTATTGGCCGATCGATGTGCCAAAATTGATTGACAAACAGCGGGTGGAAATTATATCCAAGGTAGAGTGACGGGCGATTTGTTGTTGATATTGACGTAACGAGTGTGTTCACATCATTCACACTGATTCATATCAGATATTATTGTAATAATTTTTAAAAATAATTCCTATTCTTCTCATCCTCCACCTCCCCCTGTCTCCTCTTTCTTTTGCCTCACTCATCATTTCCTCAACCCCTCCTCCGTCGTTGTCGTCGTCGTATTCTTCTTCTTCAGTTTGTTCTTGTTTTTTTCATCTTCCCTAGTCCTCACACTTCTGTTTGTTTTTCTTTCTTCTCCTCCTTATTATTCCTTTTCTTCTTCTTCATCTTCTTCTTCTTCTCTTCCTCTGCTCCTTTTCTTCATGCCCTACTCCTCCATCTCCTCTTCTTATTCTGCTGCTGCTTCGTGGATGTCGTTATTTGCATCCATGATGTGAAATCTGCGGCTGTTACCAAACATCCTACATCAACAAACAACTGTGCTAAAGCTGAAGAACTTTTCGTTTAGTTTCATATCTTTTCGTTATCAAGTTTTATTCAGATTACGTGCCAAGAAATGGGAGTCCGAGATACTGCTGCAGGTTTCTATCGGCGACAGATAGGAGTGGAAAGACACATAACACATGTGTGTATGTAGACAAAAACTTCCACATTTATTGATCGGCACTCACAGAAGTGAAGTAAAGTAGGCGAGATTCGAACCCAAGACCTTCGCACCAACAAGCAAGGGTGTAACTGGACTACGGGTTATGTTGCAACCATTGTGTGACGCCCCAATGTAACTGTGTTATTTGGCTGAACAGTTGAGGGTGTTGGGAAGGGGGGGGGGGGAGGGAAGTTCCCGGGATTTGTACCTGTTTCTTTCTGTTCCTAGAGACAATCTTACAGACTCTAATACCAGAGGGAAAAACAATCTTACAGACTCTATTCCTAGAGGGAGGAACAATCTTACAGACTTTAATCATAGAGGATGGAACAAAATAATAATAAATAAAATATAAAATAACCACACGGATCTCCCTTATGGCTGTAGCCGCTCGAACAGTAACAACGAGTCATATTTTTCATCCTTACACTTGAACTGAACTGACTTTCTACCCCACCAAGACATCACACAAACGATAAACACCCGATGACACAAAGTGCCACCATGTGGATGAGGATCGCCGTGGAGAGGTCCCAGAAACCGCGTTCAGACATTTGGCCATATATATGGCCTGCCTATATTGGGGCCCCTGGCAAAAGCCAGAGTAGGGCTTCAAATGACAAAAAAATTCTTCCTAAGAAGAACGAAGTTAGAACTGTATCCTTACACTTGGGTAAAATGACATTATTGTAGAACTGGTGCTAGGCGACCATACTTTTTGATCTCTCCGACAGTCCGGAGAGGTCCGCCCCTCGTCTGTGTCCGGAGCAGAGGAGAACTTCCAGCGCGTGGTGACAGTCTGTCAAGCGGCCCAAGTGGATTTTACAGAGCTGCCGTTTTTGGAGACAATCTCCGTGCTACGATGTGGTATGTTATCAGTTACACACATAGTTATCATCATCATCACCATTACTGACACCGTCAAGTCTCCTAACTCCCGATGGTATCCAGTTTCGTCTTCTTTGGTTATAGATAGTAAAAATAGTTCCACAATGATTCTCAGAATATCTTGGACAAAGAAGAGAAGAAATACTGACATCTTGAAAGATCTGAACATCAAGGAAGATGGGCTAGTAAACAGCGTCCTGTCTTGGAAGCTGAAATATTTTGGTCATATCAAGCGCCACGACGGATTGGAAAACAAATCATAGCAGAAGGCATGGTACCAGGAAGGAGGGGCAGGGGCCGACCAACACGAAGTGGGCACAGGATATAAGTGACTCCTTGAGTATGAAAGTACAAGAGGTGGGAAAACTGGCAGAGGGTGATAAGAGCGACCTTCTGCAAAGGACCTGCTTCATGATGATGATGTGTTCCACAACATATACTGCCCTTTTGGTGTCCGGTGCTAGATCTCACGTATCTTATGCTTTGATGTTTGTTAAGTCACTTCTCCTCCTCGATGCCTTCGCTTTCCGTAATAAAAAAAAAAAGTAAAAGGACCCTTTTCCACGTCTTTGGGCATATAGGGCATGTAGAGCTAGACCTACATTTGTATAGACCAATCGGCACAAGATGGGTGATGTGGTTAGCATCACGACGGCCGCCTTCACTTCCCGGGACTGCACCCGGTACCCCAAGGACGGGATTCGAATCCTCGAAGGGAAAACCTAATGGAACGACAATCAGCGCCGTTGACCGCTCGACAACCTCGACATACTATCCGTATAATTCCCAGACATGTTTTTGGTTACACAATTTCACGAATCTGGATCCCAACCTAAAGTCACACGGCTTAGGGAAGGTGGTGGGGGAGGAGGGGGGGAGAGGGATGTCCTATCTCTGCATTGGTTTAAATCCAAGTCACGGTCTCAACAGGTTGTGCACTGACCACTAGGTCACTTATCCTTGTTGTATGCTAAATATAACACAAAATGTGACTAGGAAGCTCAACCGAGTGAATGGAAAAGACGCACACAAACACAACAAAACCTTTCGATCAAGTGAGTATCAAATATAGCACAAACTATTGTGATGACGTAAATAGAGAGCGACTGTTATGATGACATATATAGCGGTGACTGCTATTTTCATGACCTAAATAGAGAGCGACTGTTATGATGACATTTACAGCGGTGACTGCTATTTTCATTACCTAAATAGAGAGCGACTGTTATGACGAAATATACAGCGGTGACTGCTATTTTCATGACCTAAATAGAGAGCGACTGTTATGACGAAATATACAGCGGTGACTGCTATTTTCATGACCTAAATAGAGAGCGACTGTTATGACGAAATATACAGCGGTGACTGATATTTTCATGACCTAAATAGAGAGCGACTGTTATGACGAAATATACAGCGGTGACTGCTATTTTCATGACGTAAATAGAGAGCGACTGTTATGACAAAATATACAGCGGTGACTGCTATTTTCATGACGTAAATAGAGGGTGACTGTTATTAGGATGAACTATAATATAGGGATGCTAGTGAAGTTTAATGGAGATGAGATGTCTGAGAAGGGCTATAGGAGTGACCATAAGAGATAAGATCAGGAATGAGATCATAAGAGAACAAGTCGGCACAGAACCAATTCTAAATTACATACGAAGACAGCAGGTGAAATGGTTTGCCCACTTAGAGAGAATGCCTTGTGACACCATACCATACAAAGCATACATGGAAAGAGAAGAAGGACTTAGAGCACGAGGTAGACCAAGAACAAGATGGAAGGATAACATCAGAGAAACTCTACAACAGCACGATGTGCCTATGGTCGAGGCAGCCAGAAGAGCTAGAGACAAAACCTTATATCTCCCTCGACACCCACAGCGGTAAAAGAGGAAGTGAAGAAGAAGAAGAAGAAGTGAAGTTTTATATTTTAGGTTTTTACTTACGAAATCATGACAGCTAGATAAAGATTAAAATCACAAATCCAATGTTACCTTATTTAGGCCTGTAAGTCGATTCTAAGCGAAGATATTAACATTTTAGTCGCGGATACCACCACAGAAACATTATAGTGGAAATGCACAAAACATAGATTCCCGGCTGCTACCCAGTAAGATGAAATGACTCAATGTTGGCATTTTACGGCCATAACTTTTTTGTTTCTGAACGAATCCCTTAGCAACCAGATATTGCTGGAATCGGGACAGTGAGACCTAACTGTTTATGCGTGTCTCAAATACATACACTACGATATGCGCCTATTTAACATATGAAAATGTCCGCAGGCTGATTATTTTTCATCAAAAACCTTATACATTTACAGTTGTCTGCCAACGAGCCTGGCTTAATACATATCATATTGTGTGTCCTGGCAAGGCGAACATAACGATCATATAAATGTGCCAATGTCAGTTGACGTGACCTAATTAACAAATACCGTACACTCCCCCCCCCCCCCCTCACCCCCCGCAACAGCAATGTCACCCGGGGTGGTCGTATCTCCGCACAGAAATGACACCCGGGGTGGTGGCACCCCCCCCCTCCCCCACCCGCCGGACAGTGATGATACCAGGATGGCCGCACCCCTTCCTGCTACCTTCTTTCCCTGGTATATGTCCTCTTCTTTCTTTCTGTTTCCTTTCCTTTCTTTTTCCCCATGACTCAGGGCCGACTTTCTTTTCTTAGTCTCTTTTTTTTCTTCCTCTCTCCTCCTCCAGCTCCCCCTCTTTCTCAACTTGTTCTCAATCTTTTACTCCCCCTCTCCCAGCTCTCCGTTCTGTATGGTAGAAGAAAACATGAGCCCACTGTAGTACACTTCCTGTTTTCATAATGGGGCAGTGACAGTGTTAACAACAGGGCAAACACAACAGGTGTGTTCATTTCTGTGAATCAGGTCAGGCCGGATTTTCTTTTCTTTCAAAAACCACCTTGGCTCTCATGTCCACCCAGCATTGAATGTAAGAAATGGATCTATAGCAGCCACACGCGGACAGCCAAGCATGAGAGGGTTGCCAATGGGATTTTTGTCAAACCCGAAGCTAGGCTGACCAAAAAACCCAAGCAATATATAAGCAAAAAAAAAAAAAAAGACAAAAATTGATAAATAGTACATATTTTATGGTTACGAAATAAAACATTTACCCACTTTTATGTAAGGCTATTTATATTTTAAAAAAAAAATTAAATTTAAAAAAAAAGATTCCAAAATCTTAACCCAAGGTGTCGTATAAAAACCCAGTTCTTAGGGGAAAGCCCAAGTATTGGCAGGCCTGATGGACGGGAACGCGGTCAACGCTGCTTGTTGTTTCTCGACCACTTAGATTTACCAATTCCGACAGAAAATTCCGTGGATTCTAAATAATAACAGACGCATAAAAAAAATGCTACAAGAGTTGTAGATGTTTAAAAAGTAGCTCAATTAACATTATTAATTTACTAAGTATCTGAAGTTAATTACTAAAGAATCATCTTAGAAAATGCACAATGGTGGCCGAAATTAATTATTGGGATTTGGGGGTAGAGGAAAAATATCTCCAACAGAAAATACAAAGAGCTCTAAATAATGACAGATGCATGAAAAAATTCCTACAATGGCTGTTGATTTTTTTTTTTTTTTTTTTTTTTTTTTTAATGATTAAAATAAGGTTAGCTAATTTAATAATTATTTTAAGTTAATTATAAAGCGGGACAAACGGTCTTCTAGTGCAAACATACTGGATTTAAAGCAAAAACAGTAATGCCACTAAAAAATTTTGTTAAACATTTGCGCTCAGCCAATCTTTGTGAAATTTCCTATACTTATACAAAAAATTAACGCAGAATTTAAAAATACACCACAAATTGTGGTAATCAGGCTAATAAAAAAGATATTTACGAAATTACTTACCATTATTTCACTGCGTGCTGCCCAAAAAAAAAAATCGATTTATTGTATACGCATCAAAACCATCTCAGGTCAAAGCCTAGCATCTCTCCAATAACTCCTAATAATTTTTCTGATTTGTTCTTTCACGTAAAGAGCACAGAAAAAATTTCTCAATAACTTGTCAATTCGGGCTGGTTTTTTGGGTCGCCAAGGCGTCCATAGTTACGGATGAAAATGTAAAGCGAAATAAACGAAACAAAACGACCCATTTCTATGCCTATTATAGTCCCTGTTGCCATCACCAGTAATTTATTCACCTCTTTCTGTACCGTGCAGAAGCAAGAGACCGCCTCCTTGAACCAGGAAGGGCAGAGTTACTGCAAGACCAAGCCCAGCTGGCCCTGGCCCACTACTGCACCTACAACCAGCAGCAGTACCACATGCTGAAGCACCAACAGCAACACCGCATCGCCAGCTGCACCAACAACCTCCACTTTCGTATTCAGCAGGCTCACGGAAAATTGCCGCCCCGGCCTGAAGGTGACTTTGGGTGCGGGTCTTGCAACCAGAACTCCACCCGTTTTGGGCGACTGTTGTTGCTTGTACCTGCATTAAATGCACAAGGCAGTTGCCCAAGAACAAATAAAAGGCCAACACTAAACGCAGTTAACGCAGCAGTTAAAACAGATAGGTAGTGGCGCACGCAATTATTAGCATAAAGCCTCCAGTTCTTTGGCATTCGGCCACTCGTCATTTTCTGAATCTGCAGTTCCCAACACAAACCAGGTGGGACACCGTCGAAAAGCATTCCAAATAAAAATCCGCAACTGGGTATCACGCCAGGCACTCAACTCTGTAGCGGGACGACGGAACGATATCCTTCATCAGTCTACATATGGAGGAAACTGCAACGTCTTACTATTATCAGAAGCAGAAACTTGCCACGACTAAAAACATTAGACACGCTTATTTGTCATATCTACCGGAAGTCAGTGTGGTGTTGGGTGATAGACAATCTCTACTCGCATTAGGCGACTGCAGCTGCGCGTACCGGTACCCATGCTGTCAGTGATTGGAGAGGGGCTGGATGGAATTCTTTCATTTTTTAAAACCTGAAATAAGTCATACGGTCAATGTTTATTTGATAATATTATTACGTGTCTCCCATAAGGGAAGCAAGGAACAGGAACTCTTGTTTTTTTTTTTTTTTGCGTTCGTCCTGTGGTGGGCAAGTTGAATTGTGATTTACAGCTAGGCTACCATATCCGCGCCTTTCGCCCCAACATATCAGATTTCTGAAAATCTTTAGTTGCCCTTTATAACTTTTCTGTTAAGGTGTTTGCCCCCTCCCTTATTTATAATATGGGGTAAGGAATTCACACGGGGAGCATTGAATTACCCATACATACTGGATCCATAATGGAAGCGAGGAGTAATGACACTGTAATTAAACAAACACTTTTAAGAGGCAACGACGGAAAAACGAAATACGTGCTTCAAAAGCAAAAGCAATACGTGTCCAACGCATTTCATTCGAAAATAATGAAATAGTTCGGCCATCTTGTGAGAATGCAGCCAAACTAAACTGCAGATACATTTTTTTTACACAGCAGAACATCCGGGAGGAGGTAGAGGGGAAGAACAAGAAAAATATGGATAAACAGAGCAGCTGAAACCTGCAAAAAGATGAATCCATCAGCCGAGAAGCTGATATGACAAATACAGCAAACCACAACAAAGGGCTTCAATCGGGTACCAGTGAGACGACGAAATAAGATGATACGTGAACCAATAGTAGCAGCAGCAGTAGTAATTGTTTCAGCAGCAGCAGTATCATCAGCAATAGTGTTAACAGCAACAATAACATCGCCGGGAAGTCCCGCCTTGGTCTGAAACTGACACATCGATCTTTACATAACGTCGCTAATCACAGCTTATCTGAAAGTCTCTAATCTTTCACCCCCCCCCCCCCCTTTTTCCCATCTCGTATGTGCTAGCCTTTGCATCGCCAGTTTCTTTATCCACATTTGCGGGGGTTTGCCTTAGCATCAATTTCCATGGTAGCCCCCACCCCCCTTTCCTTATATCACCGTTCTCTCCAGAAGTGACCTCCGGGGACAAAACTCGCATTTTAAACTCTTCCTGACACGAGAGCGGCTACTTCCCATAGAGGTTGGAGTGGGGGGGGGGGGGGGGGGATAACTTGTAAGTAAACGTGGACGTTTTAAGACAACAAAGGACAACCGAATCGACGGAGTTTAATCAGAAACAGTAACAAAAGCTTCTTTATGGAGAAGACCCAGCCCGTTTAAAAAAAAAAATGACCTTATGGACGGAACTTTTATTCAGAAATTTTACTGTACTGGGCGACTACTGCTTACTGTGCTCAAACGGTCAATAGTGAATGCAGGGGACTGGGTTCAGTTCAACTGAGTCAAGAATTGACATCACAGCACTCGGGACATTCCTATGTGTGCTCCGTTCTCATCTTCAGCAGCCCATTTTAATAGCTCACGTCACCCGTTAGAGATCTATATACTCTCCCCTCTTCGTTGATACGTTTGTGTAGTTCACTTATGTTCAAAAAAGGCTGCCCGGCCGAAACGTTACGCTGTGTTGTTTTGTGCAATTGTTTCTGCTTCCCCGTTTTGTTGAGTTTTTTAGTCAAATTCCTCTGGAATTCCTGGTAATATGAACGTATTGCCTGTCCTCTGAGTGTGAAGCGACTAGACCCTCTTTTTACACCCAGGTGCACCATTCACTCCCTGCCATAATAAACGTGTTTCTCTTCTGACTTTGTTACTTGTTTCCAAGGGGCCTTGACCACGTCTGCCTTGTCATTATCAGTTCACCACCTAATGCTGCAGATGCAGCCATATGGCTGCCTGTTCATTCCCCACCACGCCGGCATGGCATAGAGAAAAGATCCAAAGTACATGTATGCTCACTACCAGTGACCTTCCCATTGAAGCTTGCCAGTCTGCTCGAAGCATCCCTGTCTTCACCTTTCTCATCATGCTTTCATGTTCTGTTACAATTCCAATATGTGTATGCATCTTGTTCTCTAGCCAACGGAAAGCTGCAGTGATCGCCTCCATCTCTATTCTCATGCTAGATGTGGTATCGTATGCTAGAATGTCCTACACTTAAGATTTGCCATTGGCTTTCGCTACGAACCTCCAGGCACTTCTCTTCCCTCTTAACACAGAAGGATGAGATTTTGTATGGATACGTATTTTTTGACGATTTTAACCTGAAATGACTAATCATGACAATGTTTTTACTTGACGTATCATAAGCGGTGGCATGTGTGTGAGCGTGTTTCATAACTGGCGATACTCCAACCTACCGTGTGTGGGGTAAAAGGCGATTTAGAAAAGTTGGTGTCTACACTGGCTTTCTCTTCCCGCTGCAAACTAATCAGTCACCATTAAGTAAAGACTCTTTACTTACCCCAGCCTTTTGTGCTTTTACAGCCAACGCATCTTCTATCCACCTTCGCGATCTGTCTCTTTTTCGTTTCCGGAAATTATTTTCCAGCACTGCGGCAATTCCCCTCCCCTCCCCCTTGGGGTTCAACATGACCAAAATATCGCAGCTTTCGGGACAGGATGCTGTTTATGAGCCAGTTCTCTTTGATGTTCATTCAGATCGTGTAAGATTTTTTTTTTTCGTCTTGGTCTACTGTATTCTAAGAATGTGTAACATTTCAACCAGGATGCTTACCGTAAGCTGAGTAGGGAGAATTTTACAAAACATCAGGTTACACTCGTCTCTTAGGCGTCCCCAGTGGTCATCTCCCGCAGTTGCCTCCCTTGAGTTGTTATATAAACAACTTTTCATTGTACGCCCTATAAGAAGAAACTCCACAGGGGAGCATGTGCAGCAGGGTCTACCAATCGCCAGTAGAACTTCTACTAGAAGTAACCTCTTGTCGACAAATGTTTCGGCCCACGAGCTCCTAGACATTTTCAGAGAGTGGGCCCACCTGAGTTCATGATGCTCAGGGTTGGTTTCCCCTGCTGCACGAATGACCGGATGTTATTCGGATAGGGACAAGACGAATTGGTGATTTTGCAGAAGCTACTGTAAGATAAGAAGTCGTCGCGGTAGCACAATTAAAGCAGTCTGCATACCTGAACGACCGAGCGGCAAGCTTACGATTGGTATACCGGACACATGTTGGACTTTGTTAGCAGGTGGCAGAGGGACACTGGCAGACAATTCGGACACGATGGACTTTTAAGGGATGAGAAATTCTTTTCCGCTAGACACCCGGACCAGCTCACCGAGGCCCGTCCCCTGCGTTGTTTCGTTGTGTCCAGAGCCAGCTCGAGGTCCTCCCAGCAACCTCGCCCAGCTGTTTAAGTGTCCGTTTGCGTTCATTACCGCGTAAGCCTAGTTATTTAATCACATTGTAGAGTGAAGTGGCAACGAGACCTCTTGCGCCGACTTCGACAGCGAAGACTCTTATTGTGTACGCTTCGTCCCTCCTCAGACCGGCTGCTAAGTCACTGTACTTCTCGAGCTTGTACATATGACTTTCGTCCATTCGCGACTCATACGGGACGGTTAGCTCAGGCTTAATCACCACGCATCGTTGCACATGTTGACTGGTTTCCAAGCAATCTCTACGCATGGGTCAAGTAAGTAAAAAACAAACAAGTAAAGGACCTTTTCCACGCCATAAGACGTATAGGGCTAAACCTATATTTTATAGACCCATCGGCAGAAGATGGGGGATGTGGTCAGCATCACGCCGGCCGCCTTTACTTCCCGGGACTGCACCCGGTACCCACTCAAGGCTGGGTCGACCTAGGAGCTAAGGTTATTTTTGAAAAAAAAAGTCCGTCTCATGTGTCAAGTAGGACACACATTATTAGCCAAAGATCAAAGAAATTTGCCGCTTCAAGAAAACAGCAGCATCTGTGCAACTGTAAACAAAATAATCATAAGGACATGGGAAATCTAAGGCCACACGCACAAACTCGTATTGATCCTTACAGGAGTTAGAGAGATATTTTGTTGAAGTGCGAGGCATCAGTTTTGAAACGCATTATGGTATCTTCTGAACCCAAGGCGGTCACAATCATTGTATATCACTACATTTATATGAACCAAGAGAGCAACCAAAAGGTTTTGAAAGAGGCGGGAGCCCGAAGACTAATCACAGACAGAGAGAGAGACATCATTTTTCGGCCATGTTATGAGAAAACGGAAAATGGAACATGTTGTGACCACTGGAAAGATCTGTGGAAGGAAGGATAGAGGAAGACAACGAGAAAAGATTCCTGACAGTCTTGTTGCATGGCATGGAGGTGTGTCAGCACACGAACTGATATATGCTGCAGGAGAAAGCAGATTGTGAAGAGGCATGATCGCCCACGCCTGTCGGCAAGAGGCATGATCGCCCACGCCTGTCGGCAAGGCACCTAATGATGATGGTATATGAACCATGCAGAAAGCAGCACAAGGATGTACATAAAATCAGTGACAATATTAGATTTTACTGTGTTGTCAATTGCCATAAAATGGTTTTACTAAAATAGTTTTATTTCGTTGTCTGAGTTAAATGAATGCTTTAAATTAACTATGTGCCGTCTCCATAATGAATGTTGGCCACATTGCTGTCTTTGGGTATATTATGCATTGAGGTCTCAATCTCTTCCAGGGTGCGACTCTCGTACCACTGTCC